TTTCTGGGTTTATTTATACATAAATGGCTCTGTGCTGCAGCTGTGAGATGTACAAAGCACTAATTCAAACCTATTATGGCACCTAGGGTCAAGTTACACGTTCACTACTACAATCTATGTCCATCGGTAGCTGTCTAACAAAACTAGATGCTGTGAACTTCAGCATGGTTAATGCTTCAGTTTAGAAAGCCACCTGGAAAAGGATAGTGATTAATCTAACGGTTTGTCTAGTTAAGTAGATCAATAGTGATACTGGCCTACATCATGCCTTAAGACATTTAAAGCTTCAGCTTTAAATACCGATGCTTCAATGGTATCTACAGTACAAAACTTCAGATGGTTCGAGAGTGTCTTAAATGGGGAGTGGCTCTTTATAGGATTAACACTAGTCATGAGAGCCTATTTCTGACCTGAGAGTTCTTGGCAGATTCAGTATGTTGCTTTCTTCCTGTGCCAGGTGTTGCTACCTGTATGTACCATATTAAAAAATATAGAGGTTTGTATTACCAATAAAACCTATTGGCAAATCGTCATTTCGTCTGAAATAATGTGATGCTGTGACAGGGTTGATGTTTAAGGTTTCTTGGGTTGATGGCTTTTCCCCTTACTCATGGCATAACTCTGGGCAAGTCCCTTAATCTGTATCATGCTGTCCTTCTGAACTGGAGGTAGTACTTGCTGTGCTCAGCTGGATGATATGTCAGAGCTCTTGAGCTGTGTGAGGCATTCACAGAAAGTGATGTGCCAAGCTGTACTTTCTCTTTTGTAATGTACATCTTAAGTATGCAGTTAAATAAAGGGAACACTTGCAGTATATTGCAAGTACTTTTAAATGCCAATATTCTCTCTTTTTAAATAGCAATTGCTGGGTATTTTAATTTGTATTTAAATATTAATAACACTTTTCAAATTTATAGCAGTTTGAGATTTCCTCATGAATTCTTCTGCTGAATACTTCATAATTATTGCTAGCTTCATTGAATTATTCATTTTTTGACATTTCCAGTTTTCACAGCAAGTTCTCTTCAGTTCTTATGGTGGAAACATGCCTTATGATGAACACTGAAGACTCATTGTATTGACATCTAGAAGTGTTATAAATATTGATGCTTTAAGTCATTGTTGCTCTAACAGTATGCTACCTCTGTATGTTTTCCCCTCAGACAAATGAGGACAAAGGGGACAACTATGATTATGGCTTTTTAGTGACATCCAGCTTTCTCACAGGAAGCCTGGTGCCGGCTTGTCTGTTGGTGAGAGCCACATTCATGACTCAAAGCCAAGCTGCAAAGGGAATGTTACTGTTACAAACTATAAAGGAATGAACATGATCAGGGATTAGAATTCCAAATTAACAGCAGCAAGTGTTGATATGTTGAATGTTTTTCCCTGTGAGTAAAACCCCAACCTGGCCATCTGGTCAAAGCAGGGTGCTGTCATTTCCTGATGTGCTCTAATTTATAGGAAATCTCCTGACCTTGGGGCCAGATTCTGCAAGCATGTATGCTGCTCATAATTTCAGCTACAGCAGTATTTACTCAAGCCAATGTGCTGTTTGACTTACAATAAAGCAGAAAAGATCCAGTCTTGCAGCTAAACTCCGCCAAAAAACATGTAATTTGTGTATTAAACCTCACCTCAAGTCCTAAACTAGTAATGGAATGATAGGCTTTCTAGAGCCTTTTTATTGAAGAGAGTAAAAGCTGAATCATAGAACACTGTAGTTCATGCAGGGGATATAGATGTCCTCATCAATTCTTACAGGTTGTTCCTGGAATCTTTGTATCACAAAGGTAAAAAGGGAGTTGCATTAGGAATTCTTCAGTAGTATAAAAATACATTTAAAATAACTCAAGCTTTTCATGGAGAAGTCATTGCTTCCTGAGGTTTGTTTGAAGCTGAATGGAATGTGTTCTACAGCTGAGATTTCTAAGTACTAAGGCAGTATGAATTATCAGCACATCGAATGTACCAGTGCAGAAGCAGTTGTTGTCTCTTGATGTGGACAGAGGAATGAAAATGGAAGTGTTCTGATTCTTCAGAGCTGTCACTTTCTCTAGCCATTTACTGAGTATTCACTACTCCAGCTGCTAATCAGAAGGGCATTCATGTCTACACAGTTCTGCAAATTCAGGTCTAGTAAACGCAAGTCATGGCCAATTTTAACTGAAGGTCTACGTGATGTCAGGCCAGGATTTGTACCAATCCTCAGGGCTTGGTTCAGCACAACTGGAGCCAGTTGCCTAACCCAACTTTCCTGTATCCTTTTAGAAGAACAATAGAATCCCCGGAGTTTCTTGCCCCTGGTGTTTCTGGTGCTGTGTTCCTTCCTGAACTTCACTTGCAGAAGTTTTCCTGGTACATAAATCAAAAGGTAGAGTCTAGCTGACAGTACCAAAGTTGTCAAGGAATTTCTCTAACACCAGCAACAATGTCAGCAATGACCTTGTCATTGAAATGTGCTTTATTTTGCTAACTGCGCATGCAGCAGATCAGAATTCAGTGCTTGACTATTGATTTCAGATGTTAAAAGGAAGAAGAGCCCATCAATTAAGTGGACAAATATATTCTGACAATGGCCAAGTAGGTATTTTAAGTGGAAATTCTTTCCAACAGAGTACAGCACAAAACTTACCCATACTGAAGCCACCAGTGCTGGAAGCCTCCCAAGCCACGTTTCAGTGGAGCGTCGGACATCTGCCTAGGGGTTGACTTCACCTAAGGCTAAGTTTCTTTAAAGGGCAGAGTCTAAAGGCACAGTTAATTCCAGGAAATTTAGGTAGGTGATGTGTCAAATTAGAATTGCTCTTAATGAGAAATTCTGGTGTAATAACAAAATGCAGCCTATTTAAGCAGAATGCGGGTTATTTGACTGGTGTTCTGTGAACGAAGCAGGAAAATTCAGTTTCCCAAAAAGGTTGTCTACTGTAATGTCATGCCTATTTCAAATAGGGTCTTGGTGAAGCCAGAAGTAACAATATGTCTCCATATGGAAAGTCTGGTTCAGAACTGGCCCGAGAATGGTTTTTATGGTTTTGTTACTTGCAAGTTAGCAGTGACTGACCTGGTGCAGAAGAAATTGGTGACATCTGTTATTCCCTAGAATGGTTGAATAATTCATAATTGCATCTGGTGAGGTATCAAGTGCATCTTACAGGGCAATCTTCAGTACGGAAGATGCTTTTAAATCTGAAGTAACCAATTGCCATTCTCGTTGCCTGTAGTCTTACTGATTTCACATGAATTTACATGTGTATTAGCTAATTCATAGTAGTCATACAAGCAGGTATCATAAGACAGTCATATGTAAAAAACTGTCGTCATCTCTTTCAAAAAAGTGATTTGTATGGACACTTTAGCAAAGTAACCTGGTCCCCTTAAAGACAATAACAGAAGTGCAGAGTAAAATAAAACAAAGGATGCTGGTGGGGAGAAGCTAAAGGATGAGCTGTTTATAGCTCAAAGAAATGCCTTCAACTGAGCGGAGTCAAAGGAATAGGCAAGTATGTCGGGGCCTGTGTGCACCTTATTTCCGAGAGGAGACCTCATGTGAGGCTGCAGTCTCTTACAAGTGAGCACCTTTTTTGAAAGGTAACTTCAATGTACCAGAACTTTCAGAAAAGATTGGGTAAACTGCATTACTCATGTTAGTGAGTCATGCAACAGAATGCAATGAATCATGGGTAAAAACTGTACTGACACTTAAGTTAAATGAAGATAGCTTTTAAGAATTAGTTTAACTGAGGTCTCACTGTCTTAAAGCTCAGGCTTCAATAAAGGTAGTTAAGGATTTGGAGCCAGTTTGTATCCTACTTCTGGGGCCAGGGCTTTGCCCTTGTAGCTCAAAAATACCTAATACCAATTTAGTGTTACTTGGGTAAAGAACTGCTGCAAGATATAACACAAATCTATATACGCTAGGCCTAAACTTATGTAATACATGTGTACAGTATACAGTATTGTCACTAATTTTTCCTTTGATTTGGTTTGTTTTATTAAACTCTGAGTGTAAGCAAGACAATCAAATGAAGATATGCTGGGGGTGACACATCAATGTATTTGGTGTTTATTCCATGGTGTATGTATATATATATTACTGTCAACAAATGCTAGGATATATGCTTTGGTCTGAATTGTACTGCATCAGACTAGTATTTAACCCCAGACATCTGACGTTCCTTAATGCTAGTTTCTTCCATATGTGGAAGACAACGTACTGCATAGCTAGAGTAACGGTCTGAGTTACATGTTCAGTGCAAACTCCCAAAACAGATTAAGGTATATTTCTATTCCATTATATGCTAGCTGCTCAGATACTGCTCAGGATGTGGTGAGAAAACATTCCTCTAGAGAAAGGTCAAGATCACTTGTAAAGGTCAACATCACTGGTAAAGATCACTTTCAGCAACTGGAGATGGCTATGCTTAGGGACAGCGAGCTACAAACCAAATCCAAGTATGCCTAAATTCAGGTATTAACATTTAGTCTAAATCCAGACTTCTGAAAACTAGATTTCCTTTTACAGATGGGTCAGGATAAGCACACATCTAGATAGCACAGCGTTCAGATCCAGACTACGATCGTTCTTGGCGCAGGAAAGTCTGACTACAAAAGCTCAAGTTAACGAGATCCAAGTGGAGGCTTTCATGATGTGTTCAACCTAAATACTGCTCAATGTAGCTACTTTCTACTCTCGTTCCTTTTTTGTGAACTCATCAGAATCACTGACTAGAGCGTGCTACTGCATGAGTTTCAGAGGTGCACTCAACAGGCTTCTAAATTTCTCATGTGTTTAGTTTTAACCACAGATTTTAAGAATGTTTCATTTCCTATCAAAGAAATGTGTCAAATATTTAAGTGCCAGAATGGCAGAGGCCAAGACAGATAACAAAATACTGCAGAGAAATTAAAGGAAGTTTAAAAATAGCATGTAAAATGCTTTTTTAAAAAAAGCAATTATTGTAAACTTAATTTTTATTTCCAAAGCTCAGATAGATAGTCCACGGCACAGAAGAAACAGATGAGCAAATCTAAATAGTCTTGTTTATTGCTTGCTGGCAATGTGGGTTATAGCAATTTTGTACCAAACACGAGTGCCTTAAGGTTTGGAAAACATGATACGCTGCAGCCACTTGGCACAGCCTGTTCTTTGAACTCTGCACCTTTATGTACTGCTGCATTCAGTATGCCATAATGAAAAACTGGAGTCCAAAAACAGATACCTCAGTGTGCTCTGATCTAGTGTTGTACAATATGTGATCGAGCAAGTCTACCCTGCACTTAAAATGAGACACTTGGAAAGAAAAGTGTATGTTAATTCAAAAGCTTCTACACATCAGAAGAAACTGGTTAAAGTGACCCATCAAAAGTGGGTATATTCCAAGCACCCTTTAATTCAGGATGTGTATTTCAGTCCCTGTGCCTCTCTGCAACAAGAGAAGATGGGATGTCCTTAGCATAAGTCGGAGGAGCAAACTTTTAGTTGGTAGGTCAGTTCCAGCTGGGTCTACCACACCTTGACATACAAGCATCAAAAGCAGAAAATCAGTATTGATAGTGGAAAGATTTGAGTTCCGATATATAACTTGTTTATGAAATGTGAATATACTTCAGTCTCTCTGAAGCTAATTCCTTCTTGTCTGTAAGAGTTTCATATCCTGCTAAACTATACATAAGGTAGATGAACATGCCACAAGCACTTCAGAATGCTGAAGGATACAGTAGGCTATCTTGACTACTCAGTGAGCTTAAAAGAAAAATGTTGGTATGTGGCTTCTTTTCTAGAGAAATAGATAAAAAGGCAGTATAAGATAATCGTCTTTGCCTGCAGTGTTTAAAATCCAGCTAGCATATATTACCTGCAAATCACATTTTGGATGTATCTCTCTTTGCTTCTGTGGGTTTTTTCCTACTACATGATTTTCATTTCCTTTAATATACTCCTGGTTAGTAAAATCCTGTGAAGTGTTCCATATTTGTAAAGTCTGTGAAAATAGTCATTTGGAGAGCTGTGTGGGATCCCCATAGATGTGGAGTTCTTCAGCCATGCTTTCCATGGATCATCTTCTCACACAAATACAGGAATAGTCTCTAGTGCTTATAAAGTAAGAGGTGCTTTTATTTACTGGCAGAAAATGGCATGATTGCTTGTTTCAACTATTTTTAGGGTCTGTCAAAACAAACAAAAATAAGACAGTGTTACTTTCTGTAGTTCATGGAGTTAGCCAAATGTAAGTTATGCGATCTTTCTTCCCCCTCTTTCCTGTTGCCTTTTTACTTCTCTTCCCAGTTCATGTCCTATCCCTATTACTGTAAGTACAACTTGTTTCCTGCCCGTTGACTAATGCTGGGTGAATGGTAGTTAAACGTAGTATAGGTTTTTTCCTAGTGAGCTTACAAAAGCGCTTAGTCTGTGAGTGGCACTAGTCAATCCTGCTGGTACTAAAATAGCTTCCAGGTCTAGTCAAAGTAATAAAATAAAGACCACCTGTCAGTGTTCACATAGTATCCAGCACTTTCAGAACTTGGTCCTATAATACTTTGTAGTGAATTTCCACCCTCTGGAGTAGACTAACCCCAAACCTATGCATATCAGGAGGGCATGCACATAATGTCTGTGAGATTTCGAAGTGTGTGAGGGTGCCTTAGAGGACCCATCAGACTAGCAGCTCTTGCTGAATCAAGAGGCACTGTATAACAAAAGTAGGTATGTCTCACTTTGTCAGGCGGGAAGTATTAGAAACTTGGTGAAACCTGTGATCTTGCTCAGAACGCTTGCTTGATTTTTTTTTTTTTCTTTTAAATGGAGAGACTCAAATGGCTATTGAATCCAAACCGTTTATAGTTTGTCTGTTACTAGAATTACTAGTGCTGTAAAGACTTGCTTGTCTTCAGTTACACCCAGAAAAGCGTTATTAGTAATTTACTTACGAGTACCTGCCTGACATTTTCCTTACAACAGCGATTATGATTCCTGCAAGTATTCCAACTGCTACTATGATTCCAGTGATGATTCCAGCAAGTGCAATTGTTTCCAGACCACCTGAACAAGAAAATGAACACTGTTAGCATATTTTGCATGGAGTGCGTTGAAAACAATGGCTACTGATAGTACAGATACTTTTCTGCTGCATGCCAATCCTTGGGGAAAACTTCCTTGTATCTTGTGAACTCTCAGTAGGTTTTGCAGTTCAGTATTGTTTTTATTTCTAGCCTTTGTGCTAGATTGAAAACTTGCTGAAGTCACTGGGCAAGCCTGTATAGTGTACTGAGATCCGCAAAGCCATGCTCATGCGGAGAATCATTCTCTACAGGCCTGCCTATATGCCCTCATGCTGGAGGGCTCCCTCTAGATGTGCTTGTGGAGACAGCTCTTGTTAGGTAACCAGGTGAACAGGGGGAGGCAGATCAGGGAGCATGTCAAGGCTCCTTCCAAAGTTCCTCTTGAAAAGTAATATGGATATAACTAGTGGCTTCTAGAAGTGTTGTCACCTGGCAGTTAAGTTCTCTTGCCTGTATAATCAGTTCTCTTGTTTAATACCTTTCTCAGTTGCCTCTGGTTCTTTACCTCGACCACCTGTAAAGCCAGAGAAAAAAAATTATTTATATCCTTTTTGTTTCGTATCCCAATTCACACTGCTATATCCTAGGTGAATCCAAATGACAAACTCAATCATAGTGAAAAGAGCTCTTTGAAATAATAAAGATAAACTAAACTAAGAGTGATTGTGACCTATATGTACTAGTGAAACTTCAATTTGGTACATTAAGATCAATAAGAGTATACCTGGTATAAGATAATCTTAAATTGGAAATCAAATTTTAATTGCCTGAGGAATAGTTTTACAGTAATAAGTTGTACCCTGTTCTCAGTTTTTTTGGCAAACTTTATCCATTTAGAAAGCTTTTTGTCTGTAAAAGTTTCTCAGGTTCCTTATGCATTTTTTTGTGTATGAGAAGCTTGTACAAAATCTGTTCAGTACACTTCTTGAACCAGAGTCAATAAATTTGTAGCTGAGTCCCCAAAACAGATGAAACAAGCTCTTTCTTAATTAGTAGTACCTCCTCCCAAAATGTTTTGCATATCCTTTAGAAGAAGTCTGAAAACTTCACCTGCAGAATTCAGATCTAGTAAGCATAACTTCCATTTAATAGTAAACAAAGATAAGAGGCCCCCACTCTCAGTTGACAAGCAAGCTGGCAAAGGAGATAAAAGCAAACCTATCTTTTTAAACAAATTTGTTTGATCCATTGGGGGTTATGGAACTGTTGCAGAGCATGGAAGCTTCATAAAGAAGCTAGCCAAAGAAGTGTTTGATGTGCATAACAGTTGTTTAGAGCTAATTGGCTTGGGTTGCTTAGGGGAGAAATGAATATACATACTGCAGGACTTTGTAGAAATACGTCTGCCACCAGATTTGATTTTCCAGTTTTGATGGGAAGTCTGCAGGCCGAAAGCAAACTGATTTGAAACCTGGCATTCATGTGACTTGATTTCAAAGTCGCTAGTGAATTCAGATAGGTGAAATGACAGATTTGGGAGCCATACGGAACTTTTCAGTGTGGTCTGTGATCCAAGTTTTGAGTTTATTCTTGAGGTAAGCACACTTGAGAATCTGTTGGCAACAGCTACTACTGTTAACTTTGAATCGGCGAATCTATGCTTCCTTTATTTAGATACCATACTAAATGTGCAGTTAGCTATTAAATCTTATTCCTAAATAAATTTCTGACCAGTTGATTCCTAAATTTGAATCTAGGAAGTGACTAGAAAGAATAAACATAGGAAGACAATATAATCTATATAAAAATGACTCCTTTAACTATTCTAATGCAAGATTAAACAAACTTGTATCCAGTCATTAATACTGTTACAGGACTGAGCTACCAGAGTAGAAAGTGGGTGTTTGCATTTTCTTACTATTGATGTACACATGAGTGACTCGATAAGAGCAATTCTAGTTCAAAAGGTGCCCTGTAAAGCGTGCACGCTTTATTGTGCCCAAGTGTTCTTCTCTCTACAGTCAGGCATAACTGCGATACTCAGTAAGCTGTCTGCAAGACAGCTAAGCAGGCATAAGGTAAACAGGTCAATGCGACTCATCAACCTTTTGCACCAATCTATTGCTCATTGACGACTGTGTGGATATAGGTCCAATTTTCCTTATTTGTGCATGACAATTTGTGTATCTGCAGGGAAGCAAGACAGTCAACCTGGCAAAAAATCCAGAAGGGAACCAGGTTGTTAGTTTCCTGCATTAGAGGATCTCTGTCTGGGCAGCCAACAGGGTTTTATGGTAGTTTGTATTACCTGGAGAGCTGTCTCTGATTTTTTTTTTTTTTTTTTTAAAACAAGTCATCTGAAAAGCAAGTGGAGGCTTCAGAGGGCTACTGGTGTGTCTTGTGTTAGGACCAGCAATGCAGTGGTAGACTATATGGTTTGTTTTTTGGTTATCTGTTATTAAGTTGTTAAGTGATTGTGAAGAACTATTTTTAAGAAGCCCTCTTTTTCCCTTTCAAAAACATGTCAGCTATGAGTAGTTTAAATTTGGTATTTGAATGTCCTGGATATTCTAGGTGCTAGTAGCATCATAAGAAACTTACAGTATATTAAAATAGAAAATGAATTTTACCTTCGCTTTCAGTGGTAGCTTCATAATCAGTAGAATTCTCACCATCTTCACTTGAGACAACTATATTTTCTGTGGTCATCAGTTCTCCAAACTCCAAGAGATTTGTTACGCTGTGTAGACTTGTGGGCAGCTAAATGAGTTGGGGGGGGGGGGAAGGAGGGGGAGAAAGAAACTCAGTATTTTCAAAGTAAGCATTTGAATTTTTTGGTCTGCCAGGTGCCAAGTAGGTGGATTTTTAGCCTGTCATCTTTGCTTGTGCTGAGTGACCAAAAAAAGCAGTGAGCTGCTTTGTCTTCCTTGGTAAACATTTTTTTAGAATTTAAAGTTGTCCTTTATAATTCATTGCTAAAATCATCGGGATCGTTTAAAATCTAAGCCGCAAGATGAGAACCAGGAATATAGCATGAGAGTAATCTAAAGGAACCTTGATTTAGAGTGATACTCACCAGGGTTGGTGATTCTTCAAACTCTGTGTCATTTCTGTCTCTGAAATCAATTGTTGCACTTTCTTCTTCTAGAACTGAGCTTGCTGAATAAAATTAAAACAAGTTAGGGCTTTACTTGATAGTCCCATGTTCTGGCTACTTTGACCTCTAAAGTGTGTTAAACAAGCTGTCTAGTGTTCAGTCTGCCTATCTCTGCCCCCTTAGGTGTACAGCATTCTTTGGATTAACTTTCTGGATTCTGCTATGCTTGTACCAAGCTGTAAGGCAAAGAGTTTAAGTACGCATCGCTTAGAATATTTAAAGGTTATGCCACGTTTTAGCCAGGGTTGACTAATAGACCTTTTTTCAAGAAAAGTATTGTCTTTGAGAAGAGTCTTTTCCTTTTAGGTGAATGTGGTTACTGCATATTTCAAGTTAAAGCACTAGCTTATGCTACTTTAAAATAAAGAGCTTCTCCATCTTTCAACTCAGTCTGACTTTTTTTAGAACTGTCATTAGTGTTTATGGAATGTAGCTATAGTTTGGAAAACATTCACACAAATATTCTAAGGTTTGTTTTTCCTGATGCAGCAAACGTAATCTGCCATACTTCTGATTTTAAATAACAACGTAAGGTCTCCTTTTCTTATTCTAGACCTATACATGTCATTCCTACTCCTTGGTACAGCGAGCACTTAAAATTTTGGCCTGCGCAATCCTTTAGTTTTCTTAACAAGTATGGTTGAAGTTCATCAATAGAGAAAATGAGATGGAATGAGGTAGAACATGAAAAATGTGTATGTGAAGATAACTGGCAGTTAGGAAGAAACTGTTGAAAACATAAGTATCATTTAAGTTTCATGCTGATATAAAACTGACCACATGTAGTGTGATGCTAATGTTATTTCTTGAGTTTATAAATTGTCACGATTATGAAGCTAGGTGAGACTGCTGGCTACTTTGTAGCCTGGGGCACGAGTTCTGCTAATTTTGGATACCAGTGCTTAAATTCAAGCTAAGTGGTGGTAGTAGACACAGACATGAGCCAGACTGTCAGGCATAAAACCCTAGGACTTGTGGGAAGGCTTTACCTGGATTCAAATTTTGCACCTGACTTCTATTTATTTCAGCAATCTGAGCAAAAGTTTGTCCAAACTCTTCTTGAAATCAACGTGCCAGTTCACTGGCATGCAGTGCTCAGCACAGTGCTGAGTCACAACAGGGAGACATTAACACTGCCTTTGGGTATCAATGCAGTGAGAGCCATGCTCGTTTCCTTCAAATTACAGATTTTAGGTGTTTGGGAGAGAACCCTGGATGTTCATGCATAATTCACCCATTGACCTGTGATTTATGTAAGCTAGCAGTTGTCAGCTGCTGGTTGATTAGTTAGGAACACAAAATATCTGATTTCTTTTTTCCTTTGCAAAGTAGTTTATTCCGTAACAATTCTGCTTAAGGCTTTATGAATAGAATCTTTTTGATTCAACACCCTTGGTATCTCTGTGTGATTTGGAAGACGTTAAGTGGTAAATTGGTGGTGCTGTGCAGTGATCTTAAAGAGTGGCTAGGCCCAAGAGTTATTAAAAACAGGGACTTAACACATCATGTAAATATTGTATATAAGGGAAATAATATGCCTGTCTGTATAGTGTTTTATTAAGTATCAAACACTAATTTCACCTGTCTTATTTAATGACACAAAAACACTCACCTCTTCTGCATTTGAAATTAAAATATTTCTGTTCTGATCTCTTATCAGAAAATAAACTTAATATTCATACCTCTAAGCACACTCCACTTACATTGTATTATCATTTAGAGGCAGATAAACAGGATTTTTGGTTCTGAGACTGAAAAATTAGGAGAAAATAAGTGTTAGTAGATTTTTGAAAGTGAAAAATGAGTTAGAATAACTTTTGATCAGTTGTGTGCGCATCACTCTTTAAATGCCCATTCTAATGAAAAATGTTATTTCAAACCAAAATCAAATGCTTAAAACTAAAAGGAGTAAAAACATTTGTAAAGGAAACTTTTCATTCAGAGGAGGAATGATCTGACATCTTAAAATATTTTAAGTTGAACTCAGTGGAGAGTTTTAAGCAAAAATGGAGCAACATTTTTGTTCCCAAAACTCATTTTTGAGCCAAATCTAAATTTTTCATCTCTTTCTAGCAATGTAAGGCTGAGATCTTTCCCTTCTCCAAGAAACCGAACACAGTGATCTAAACTTTCTAACTCCATGTTTACTCAAGTAGATAGAATTTTATAAATAGGACTTTGCATTTGTATACCTTTATTTATAAGCCTGAATACAGATACACTTTCCATTTAAGAGCAAAAAGAAGGGCGTGGAAGTCTTACTTTAGGCACTAACAGATGAAGAAAGTGTATTCATGTTATGCCAACATGAGGCCTAATATAGCTGCCTCAAACTTAGGTGCTGCAAAGTCAGTGACAAAATCCTCAGCTTTGATTTCTAAAGTAATGCCTTTAAATTACAATATTTTGATTATGGTATGCGTATGTTAATTGCAAAGAAAAGTGCATTGGAGCTCAACATGAATTGTAAGGATCAGTTAAGTGTGACAATCCCTGTTGGAACGGAAGAAACATCTTTTATTCACGAGTCACAGAATAAGCATGGATGGAGAAAAACAATTATCAGAGGAAAACCTCCAGAGGGAGAGTGAAGCAAGTGAAGTATGTGGACAGTAAGCACTCATACTGTTGGCATGGTGGTAGCTTTCAGCCCTGAAGAATTACTTTTCCTAAAGGTGTGAAAGGAAACAGTGTCACAGAACAAAGATGTGGAGAATGAGTAAACATCAAAAGACGTGAGGGAGAATGAAATATTCTTTGTGTGGTAAAGACAGCAAAGATTTTTGGCAACACGTGACATGTAGAAGATCTGTTTTGGTGCGTTACCTTTAGTATACGGTGACTGCCGAAAGGCGACGGCCCAGACTTATCTCCCTTAATTCTAGGTTCTTAATGGAAGTGCTCAAGTAAGGTCTGTGCTTGACCACATCTCCCTTTACTGTCGGGAGAGAAAGATAAATACTTCTAGAGTATACCGATGCTGTATCCCAGTACAGCATGCAAAGGAAAATGATAAGAAAAATGGGAAGAGGCATCTAATTTCGGTTTCAGGCTTCCGAAGTCTCAAATGAGCTTAAAATGCTAAAGAAACTTGAGGGGAGACTACTGCATATAGCGTGTTTTTCCTTGTGTCCAGTACAAGGTCTATCATTGAAGTCAAAGAATGTGAATGGGACATAAGGGACGTGCACTGTGACCTTTTGATTTTATGTGGTGTGGCCCGAATGTAGAAAGAACCATAGGATTAAGTACCACTTTTGCATATGTTTTTAATATTACCTCAGAGGAGGCTGTAAATAAAAACATTGCCTCACAGTGCTGTGATTGTCTCCAGCTAGTACCACCACCTTTTCTGTTTGCAGTTATACATTGTTGCAGATATGAATTAATCATTGTGTTTTTCTCTGCCAAAATTCCAGCTGGGTGCATTTCAGTTCAAAGTTCCCAGCTGCTATCAGGCTGCAGCTTCTCACACCGGGAGAAAAGTTGATGTCTTTAAAAGTTTAATACTGCTTTGAAAACATTGAGTGGTTAAGCATCCCATGACCCACTTGTGGAAAGATGAGCTCACTACTCGTTGTTATTCACAGGGTGGCAGTTTACTAGAAAAACCTCTTAGGGTCGCTTTCAAAGCGCAGTGGTTGTGTTGGACAGGAGAGCAAGTTGTAAAATTGGTCATTAGCATTTCTTTCAGGTGTCTCCAAAAATGACAGATATTTTTGAAAATGAAAAGTGTTAGAGGATCTTTTTCTCAGCAGTCTGAGTAAACCTGGGACACCAGTGGGCAAAGGCAGCCTTTTATCCATGTTTTAGCTTAGTCCTTGAAAAAGGAAGCCTTCAAAATGGAATGAATTTCAGTCTGAGGTAAGAGGAGTATGGGAAAAGTGCTAGCTTTAAAGGACGTCCTCCAGCAAGAACAGAAAACTTTTCCTACTCTTTTCTTTTCATTCCTATTAAAACAACTGGAAAGAGGCTTTCTATCGGTTATAAATAACAGCTACAAAAAATTAAATATATAAATTCTTAGTTGGCCACAATGGTTAAACTATAGTTTTGTCCTCAAAATTCAAGTTCAGTTTTGTCCGTTAATTTTGAGATAGGTGCTTTGTTGAAGGCTTCTCTAGAACAGCAAGAGACAGCATTTAGTGGGACTGGTGACTTGGGAGGTATTGCTCTTTCCTTTGAGATGGTATTAAGCTACTGTTAAGCTAATCTGTTAAGAGCTGACTGATCAGTTCTGCAAAGTCTGTTTTTGAACCCTTACAGACAAAGTGGCAGTGCTTGAAGGACTATGCGGGCACATGTACGGGTACATGCCCATACTAGCCATGCTGTTCTGGCTGTGTTTTATTCAGCATTTATGTTTTGATGTGAGAGTTCCATTTCTGAGGAAGCGTTCTTCACTTTTTTGGCTTTAATTTGTTTGTGAGCAAAGTGAATTTTACAGTCTATCTCTTATTGTTGGAATCTTGTTCAGGTTCAGTTTGGTAACTTATGTTCACGTTGAAGGAAGTGTAACAAACATGATTTGATAAGGTAGCTGCCTTTTGAATACATAATCTCTCAGCAGCAGCTCTCTAGTTTTGAAATACAACTTTGTCATCCAGAATTTGGCTTGATCCTCAATCTAAACATGTTCCAGAGTCAGGCCCACAACCTCTTTCATCAGCTTACTTTTATTAGAAGGAATAGCTTTATTTTCTTCTATTAGGACAATTGCTTAAGCGTTTTTTAGAAATTAAAATATGTCGGTCCCTTTTCTTGAGAATTGGTTCTTCAACACTGCCAAATCCAGGCACGCAAGTATGAATAAAGCTACAAAATTTATCAGGCTAACTGAAAATTTGCGTTTGAGGAAGACCATATACTGGCTTTTTATTTGCCTTCTGGATTTTAGGCCTTTGGACATTTTCAGACCTTTCAAAGGCTAGGAATAGTTTCTTAAGGATTGAAATTCTTGTTTGAACCTATGGCTTCTGCAGAATTCACGATGCTTGCAGTA